GCTCTGCCCACTGAAAAGAAAAAAGGAACATAAAACCACCTCCCTGACATCTTCGCTCCCTCCAGCCACTCCCTTCTTTTCATCTGTCTCCTTGGAACCACTATTCTAAGCATCACCTACACCCACTTTCTCCATTTCCTCACATCTCCTACCACTCAAGGCCGCTACAAGCCAGCTTCCATTTTACATCCGCACAACACTGCTCTTGCTGAGCTCACCAGCACGCCCACGCTGCTAAATGCAAAGGCCTCCTTTTTAGTCCTATCTTAGTTGACCTGTTCTATAACTTTCCCTCATCCTTGAAACACTGATTCAAGACAACACCCTTTCTGGGTGTTCTTCTTGCCCCCAGGCTGCTCTCTCTCAGCCCCCTTACCTCTGCCCCGCCCTTAAATCCTCAGGTTCTCACCTGAGCCTGTTTCTCCCTGGATGATCTCATCTACTCCTGCGGCATCAAACACAGATGACTCCAATATCTGCATCTCCAGGGTGGACCCCCCACCCCCACCCCGACTTCCAGACTCCAAGATCCGATTACCTGCTGCATGGTTCAGCCCCCATGTCCACACGTAACTCACCTCCTACTCTCACAACTGCTCCTCCTTCTGTATTCAAGCCCAAAGAAGGGTGCTGCCAAGTACCAGAGGCCCCTCCTTTGCCCTTCCCTGTCACCTCCCTCCAAATCCAGCCAGTCACCAAGTGCTGTCATTCAGTCTCCTAATACTCTCTTGAGCCCAGCCATTGCACATGCCTTACCCCTCACCTGATTAATGGAACAGACTCTGATCCAGTCTCCTGGCCTCCCTTCCTACTGCCCATGCCTCTCCTCTGGTTTCCCCATCCTAGTGCTGATTCCTCCAGACTGTCTGTCTCCCACATCAGACTTCGAGCTAACAGCAGCAAGGGCTATATCGAGTTTACTGTTGACCCTGAACCTAGCACAGAGCCTAGTACACATTCAGTAAATGTCCACTGAATAAATGAATGAATATAACCAGAAGTAATGAGCCTCCACTGTATAGTGAGTTTAAACAATGGGGAAAGAATAGTTTGGAGGTAGCATTGGAAGGGAAGAGAAGGCTAATGTTGTCTCGCAGCCCTGTGATAAATGAGGCCTAGAACAACAGGGGGTCCTACAGGAGCAGTTGTCAGAAGAAAGGAGGAGCCCCTCAGAAAGGAAACTCACCAGCTATGTGACTTTGAGGAGGCTGCTTCACTCTCCAGAGCCTCGGTTTCCTCATCCACCAAACAGCTTTAAAACATCCACCTCAGTGGGCTTTGTGAAAACTGCATTAGATAATGCAGGTAAGATGCTTAGCACAGTATCTGTCTCAGTAAGATGAGCCTAAGTGCTCAATAAACGTCTTTTGAGTAGTCTTGATTAAAGCCAAGAAGGAGGAGGAACCAATGCGTAGGCTAACGAGGCACGGGAGTTCAGAAGGCAGAACTGAGAGTGACGGGGTCTCAGCAGACTGATGGGGAGAAAGCTCAGAGCAGGAAGGAAGAGAGAAGAGAGTCCACGGTGATACCTGTGTTTTCCTTTCTGGCCATCATTCCCAGTGTCTTCCTGTCAGAGCACCCCGACTTTCCCTGAGGAACCAGCACTGCTCCATTCTCAGCCCCTGCCCCTACCTCCACGGGAAGGCCTTGTCTGAGACCGGCCAACCAGAGCCTCACGTCTTCCTGGCCAGAGTGATGAGATCAGGATGGGATACAAGTCAGGGCAATGGGAGCCCTTGAGTCTTAATTCTAAGACATCAGATAGAGCTACTGAAGAAGAGGCAGGACTTTTCTGCTGGGGTTGCCCTCAGAATGAGCTGTGAGCCAGGAGCTGTTGGCAGTCATCTTGCAGCCCCAGACGAGTCGGCTGCCCGAGAGGGAGCCAGCTGCGAGGAAAGCAGGACCTAGAGGTGCAGAGAGCAGCGCTGAGGTCAGCTGGTGATGCCCCAGGCCCCTGGCGATATGCGAAGTCCAAGTTCTCCCTGGCTTTGTTACATAAGCCATTAAGGCGCGTTTGAGGCAGGGTTTCAGTCATTAGGAACTATATACAAATGAGTCCATGAGAAAACGAAAAGCAGTCCTCCAGGGCAAAACGTCGGGGACCTTGGCCCTGTCCACTATCCGTTAATATATAAGGGTCCTGAGACCCCAAGAGAGGAAGGGGCTTGCAGAGTCTGGACTAGAACCAAGTTCTCCCAATTCCCTCTTCCAACTTTTCTGAATTCTTCAGCATCTTCAGGACACAATCCCAACCCTACTAGGAGCAAGTGGGCCCAAGCCAAAACTTCCTTCCAGCTCGCAGCTCCCACTCCGCTGCACCTTCCTGTAAAGCTAATGTTACTGTTTACTACATGCCAAATGCTGACCTAAACCTTTACAGCCACGATTCTCGTTTAATCTTTGAAAACCACTTGAAAAGACTCTTCCTGTTTTACAAACGAGGAAGGTGAGAGGTTGAAAGCCAACATACGATCATACAGCCAATAAGCTGTAGCGCTAAGACCCAGACTTTAGGGCTGTTTGACTGCCTGCGACCACAGCTTCTCAGCCTATTGTCAACAGATCCCTAAAGGGAGGGGGTGGGCAGCCAATCTACTAAAATTAAATGCAAATTTATATATCTGTGCATTTATCTGGGGGCAAATTCATGTGTGATACTGTCAGAGTTTCGAAAGAACCCGTGATCCAAAAAAGGTCGAGAACTTCTGCAGTGCGTGGTGAACTCCTTGTTCAAGACACAGGCCTGCCATACAGACCCTGAGTGAACTCGCCGAGCTCCTCCATCTCGGGGGAAGCAGGCAAGCCCCCAGGGGCTGACCAAGATACTGGCCACTGGGTTTCTGGTTTGGCCACAAGGAGCCTCAAATGCCCCAGCAACCTCCTTCCAAACAGCTGATCTTCACATCCCCCCTTATTTCTCCAAAACGTTTGGATGCCGACTACATGCCAGACACTGCGCTAAGAGCTCTCCACATATCATTTCATTTAATTTTCATAACAACTGTGCAAGGTGAGCACTACTATTATGCACATTTACAGATACGGAAAGTGAGGCTAAGAAAGGTAAGTGACCTGCTTTCCTTATCTGGATTCTGACGAGGAGCCTTGTTCTCACATATGAAAGTCCACCAGGAAGGATGCCAATCAATTCATCTCAGGAAAAGCGGCCCCGGTGGCTGACCAGGCCTGGCTGTTGGCCAGTTTTCAAACCAAAGCTACCAGGGCTGTGTCCAGGAGCTGCCAGCTCTGAGTGGCTCACAGGCCAGCAGGAAGACCATTTCTCAGAGTATTCTGTTTGGGAAAATACAACTTTACTTCTGGCTCGCTTCACCCACTTGGTGTGAGCTGGACACAATGCAATTGTTTGCAGAACAAGCTGCAATGCCCTTTGCCAAGCTGACCTGGCCTCCGCGTGCAAAGCAGATTACATCAGAGCCCCCAGCGGCCCTCCTCCGGGAGCTCTGCGGCCAGTCAGAGGTGGGACTGAGCTGGCTCCCACTCAAATAGTTTTGCTAAGGAAACTATGAATCCCCTGATAGTGTGTGCACATCTGGTTTTTTTTAAAAGACTAAGCTCAGTTGAAAAGGAAAAGATTTTGAAAAGAAAGAAAAAAAAGAAACAAAAGGCTTCAGAACTTCTCTTTGCAAAACAAATGGTACAGTCCCTACCGCAGATACATCCAGGCTTCTCTTAGTTCCTATTTTATCTCATAAAACAACACCAATGCTAACTCCAGCCTTGATCCACAGACTACTCGCTGAGGCCCCTGCTGTACTTGGGTGGCAGCTGAGGCTGGGGAAGCCTGGAGAGGGCTGAGCAATGGTGATACACAAGATCTGGCATTTCTGAGAAGGAAGGCCCAGCGTGAGGGAGGGCCCAAAGGGAACCCAGGCCGTGACCCAGATGTCCAGTCACGCACACTAGGCAACCTCTAGGCCACTGTCCTCATTTGGAACCAGAAAAACAAGAAGAAAGAAGAGAAACTGTCAACAGCACTATTTAGAGGTTTGATCTATCCAAAGAGGGTCTTTCAGGGTGCCTTCTACTGACGATCGTGTTCTGGCAGGTCTGGCTGAGACCCCCTAAGTTGGTCCAAGTTCCCATCATCATTCCAACAAGTGGGGATGCAGATCTCCATACCTGGAGCAAAGGTTCTCATTGGACCAAGTCAGTTTGTAGAAGTATGTACAGGGTCACTGACCAGGCCATCAGGAATTCAAAGAAATTCAGTGCACGAAGTGTTTCCTGAGCATCTCATTCATTCACTCCACATATACTTACTGAGGGTTTACTATATGCCTGACATTGCACAAGGTGGTAGGGGACGCAGGGATAAACAAGATAGACATGGTCCTGCCCTCAGGGAGCCCACAGACTGGCAAGGAAGATAGAGACTACAGGGTTACACAAAATGAGGACAGACGAGTAAAGGATCACATACAGAAGTACAGGGTGCAGTGAGGGAACATATGATGGGGAGACCTTACACAGGCTGGGGATTCAAGGAAGGCTCCCCAAGGAAGTGACATTCAGGCTGAGATCTGACTAGGAGTCGAACAGGGAGAAAGAATTCTGAGCCCAGAGGACAGCACATATGGGAGCCTGACGGGACAGAGATATGGTACATCAGGAAAGAGAAGGACGGCCCAGATGGCTGAAGCCCACAGAGTACAGGGAGGGACAAAAGATGGAGGAGGGGGGCGCGGGGTAAGGGGGTGGTAGACGGAAGCCAGATCCACCGTGCAGGACACTGCAGGGCACGTTAAGGTGCTCGAACTTTAGCTTAAGTGGAATTGGAAGCCACTAAAATGATTTCAACACAGAAAAGATGTGTTCAGTTACACCTGCTTTGTGAAAAAGGACTGTGATGGCACAAGAATCCATAAAGGTGGGTGTTCAGGAAGAAGGGTTTGGACCTGGGGCCAGGTGCCTAGGGCTCCCAGCCTACAAGGGCCAACAGATTGCTGTCTGGACAGGCACATGCAAGGGGCGTTGCTTACCTGGTTAAACCTCCGGGTAAAGGCCACAACGTTGGGAGCGAGACTATGTTTCTCCTTCTTACTCCATCCACAGCTGGCTAGTTCCTAGGAAGCACAGAGTCAGTTTCAACAGTGATTCTAATTGGGATGCAAACACACCAGGGGCATCTAATTGGAATGTGAACACAGAGGTGGGGAAGGGCTGAAGCCCTGGTTATCCACGTCTTCACCAAGGTGGGAGGGGGCTCTCCTCCTCTGGAGAGGAGGGCTGGGTCTGTGGGTGGAGGTGCATCCTGAGGCCCCCCAGAGGTAAGAAGTGGAATACATTTCTCCACAACCCCAGCCACATTTCCCAGGGCTGCTGTGCCAAAACACGCTTTATCCTACCACTGCCACTCTGCCGGCTCCCCTGGGACCAGAAGTCCCTTCTTAACACAAATTGTCTGAGAGGGCATGATGTTTTAACCAACAGGACTCATCCCCCAGGCTAACTCAAAATTAAAATCTGGCTGAAGGATCTCAGATTTCATCAGCCACGTGACGTCCTCCCTTCCTGGAGCCAGGGAAAGTCCCGCTCCAAGCCCACAGCAATCAGAGGCTTCTGGGATTACCTTGATTCCTTCCTGAAGTTGGCCCCTCCCACCTCGCATATAACTCATTACCTAAATGCCTGGCATTCTCAGCTTGTGCCTTAGGGAGCCCTGGCAGACAATGGAGGAAAGGGGGTCGATTCTAAAGTTCTCTACCCCTAAGTTACAAGACCTCCTTTTAATTTATATCAGGCCTCGTATTATTAATAACATTTGTTTTTGCCACACACCTGGAACTTTTATAAGATCTTTAGTGAGAGTGAGCTGCCCAGCAGTGGAAGAGAGGCAGATCAGGGGTCTACTAGGAAGTCACGGAGGGCAGTGGGAATGGCCAAAGGCCAAACTTGTTGGCCGAGCAGTTACGCCTGAGGTGCTGCGCCCTCCAAAGGCATCGCAGGGGCCCAGCTCTACGTCACAGAAGCCTGGCTTGTGGCAATGTGGGAAGCCTGGCTGAAGGCAATGGGTGGCTCTGGAGAGAAGATGAATGACCTGGACTTGAGAAGGCTTGGGAACCAACCAGGAGCTAAGAAACACAGCTCCTCTTCCTGGCTGCCTCACTTCTATAAAGGGCATCCTCCCCCTCCCAGGACCCACAGGAAAAAACCACCATCCTTGACCCTGCCAAGTCCTTCACCCTCACAATTTAGACCCCTGGTAACAGAACGACCATGATATTAATTAATGCTACCACGATCAAGAATCCCCCACATGCCAGGTGTTGGACTGCGTACCTCATATGTTATCTCACGTAATCCTCACCACATCTATTTTAACCAAGAGGAAAAGGACTCAGTATCATTCATCATCTTGAGTGAAGACTTTGACTCCACTTCTTTGCAAAGGAGACAAGAATCTCTTTGAGACGTAGAGTTTCCCTCTGTTTACCATGATTCTCCTTGTTCTGAAAATGTATGTTTGAGGCTCTTTTCAAATGTCCATTTGACCTACCTCAGTTACATTTACTCCTTTCACCCTGCTCCGACTTAAAACACAGACTTTAATTGTTTTGCAAATGTATATTATTCCCCTTTTGAAGTTTAACTGTGAGGACAAGAGCCTCTCTCCCCTGTGGGTCCCAAAGCCAGTCCTGGAAAGGCATGGGTTATAATCTGGCAGAAAAAAGAATTCGTAAAACTGATATTCAAGGACTGAGGGGTAGTTATCGCCCAATTTCTGGCTCACAGTTGCTCCCTTAGTTTTTTCCTGACTTCTTTAATAAACAGCAGAAGTTACATACACATATGTGTGTGTGTGGTGTGCACACGTGTGTGTGCGTGTGTGTGCACGTGAGTGTCCATTTAATTCAGAGGCTGTGGTCTTATTTCCACACTGTGGGTAACTTCAGAGGGCATCCTGAAAGGGAGCAGTGTGGACCTTACAGTGAGACAGGCCCAGGTCAGATCCTGGCCCTCCACACCCCGGCTGCATGAGGCTCATCTTCTCAGAACCTCAATTCTCTCATCTTAAAATGGGTATGAGACTATATTTATCTGTGAAGCTCACACAGAGCACCTGGCACGATACAAGTACCTGACCAAGGTTCCCTCCCTCCCTCTTCCTAGGGTCACACTGCTGTCACTCAGTTCTAACTCCACATACCCTCTTCTTTCTCCCATAGCACACTCATTGCTGTCTCGAACTATTAACAAAACCTATTATTATTTATCTTTCATTTTGCTGATGTCCATTCAGGCAGGAACCAAAGCAGGTACTTAATACATCTGCCCTGAATTTATTTGATTTGAACATTTCTAAGATACTGATTCCAAAACGGTTTGTGCAGTTCTTGGATTTTGACAATTCCCTAAGGAACTTTTTGCACTGGAAGACATGTAACATTTAAAATTAAAACCTCCACAAAGTAAAACATTATGTTTGAGAAGTTCCTTGATAAAGTGGAAGAAGCAAAAGGGCTTAGAGCCAAGACCTCACTCTGAATCCCAGCCCTGTCACTTATTTCCTGGGCGACCCCAGGTAAGTTAACCTCTCTGGGCATCAGTTTCATCACTGATGAAAACAGGGATGCTGAAACTAACTCCACAGAATTGTGGCGAAGACCAAGAGCAGTAAAGCCTGACAAAGGAGGTGACATACGGGGCACAGGCCTGACTCACGGGAGATGCCAAGCAGCATCTGTTGAATGAATGGAGTATGAGCATTCCTCAGTGTTGAAATCTCCCAAATTCAGTGCAGAAAGATTTATCAAGACGTCAAAAGAAATAATACCATTCTATCTACAATAAAACAAGTCCTGGGCCCAACCTCCTTGGCACTGTTCCTCTCCTGTTTGGCCTTATAGGAATACAACAGATTCCATCTGTGTGAAGTGGGTTTGGAAAATGTGAAGTAATAGAACAAAACTCTTCCAGTCACTAATGCCTAAAAAAGGTCCACGCTATGGAACTGATTTGGGTGTAATTAAGTGAAAATTGGCCAGAGGAGGCAGGGCTGGTTCTAGAAGGGAGACAAAGGGCTGGGCTGAGGCTGGTAAGGCCCTAGTAGCCCTGTGTCCTTGGTGAGCCACTCCGCTGCCCCTGGGCTGTGCTGGGACCCTGATCTCACCCAGGCTGTGCTTGGCTCTGAGTTCTCTGCTGAGGTCAACTGGATGTGAAAGGAGAGGAAGAGCCTGTACAGTCCTTTGCCAGCTTCTTCTGGGACCTGTCCTCTGTCATGTGGCTGTTCCCCGGGTTCATCAGGGAGAAAACAGAAGCTGTGAGAAAAAGACTTTCTGCTACCAAACGTACAAATTCATCTGCATCTTCTCCTTTCCTCTGGCTTTAATGGAAGAGTGGCCCTTTCCTGCCAGGACACACACTCCTCCTGCCTCTGGGTCCCATCCCCTCCCCCTGCTCAGAGGCCTTGCTGTGCCCTCCCCATCCCTGTCTCTTCACCCTCTTCCTCTCCAATTTCTTCTTCCCACTGCATTATAATGTGCGTCAGCCTCTTCCATTAATAATAATAACAATGATAGTAACGTATCTCTTGTAGACCTCCCGTCTCCTCCAGCTCCTGCTCACTCCCTTTCTTCTCCTTGCAGGTGAGTTTCTTGAAAGGATTGTCAGTTCTTACCATTTCGACCCGCTTCCCTCTCCACCTCCTTCTCCGTCCCTTCTCCCTCTGCTCCACTGAAATCGCACTTTGCTCTACCAGCGACAGCGTCGGGCTAGGCAAGCTTCCTGCCATGTTCTCGACTCCCTGCCCTGGCCTTCAGCCCTGGTTCTCCTGGTTGTCTTCCCACCTCTTGGGCCCCTCATTCGCAGTCTTATTTTCCAGTTGCTTTTTTCTTTTCCGACACATGTCCCTACCCTCACCCCCATCTGCCCAAGTTCGTCTTCTACGTTCTTAGACGTCTGTATTCCTCCTTGGAAGGTCACATATGCTGCCATGGTTTCAACTACATGTCTCTGTCCAGCCCAAGTCTGTCCTGAGCTCCAGACCAGGATATTCAGCTATCTCCTGGACACCTTCCCTTGGCATTCCCACAGGCACCTCAGAATCAGCAGGCCCCACCAAAAGGGTGTCTGAACAGCTGCCTTAAATAAAAAAAACACCGAACAATGTGAGATTCATTTGGACATCCATTCTGACTGTCAAAGGAGAATGTTTATTACAAAGAAATATGGAAAAAAATCCCTAACTGATAGAAAAACAACCTCGTCTTAGTACCCGCATCTGCAAGCATTCCTGGACGACGGCAAGAGTCAACTCTGGTGTCAGTTCACCCTGCAAAGCTTCCCTGGGCCACACTGCCAGCAGCACCCCCACCAGCTGCCAGTTTTGTGCTTAGTGATCTGGGAGTCAGATGCCTTGTGGTGGCCTGAGAAAGGCCTGACACTGATCATGTCTAGGATCAATAAGGTAAGGCCCTGGAAGAGGAGACCTGGGGAGCAGGACAAGTCCTCCCTGAAGACCCCCACATGATCTAGGCCATCAGGTCACAGGAAGCTGGTGCCAACACCTGGCCCTTCCACACATGTGCTTAATTATGACTGCAATCTTCTCCAAATCGCATTCCTAAAACATACCCACGTGGAAAATGCACCATGTCAAGGAAAGGTCACTAAATCTGACCTCAGGGACCACCACCAGGCTGGCACCAGCCTACATTACCATTTTGCTTAATGGCAACCTTTTTCCCTCTTCCCTCCATGTTTCTCCCCATTTTGCCATCCTACCCTCTGGAACAATCTTCAGAAGAACTAGCAGGACAATCACACACTTAGTCAAAGGAGTTCTAAAAACACCCCTGGGAATGGGTAACCCACTGAGGCACCCACTTCGGGGTTGGGGTGGGGTCTGAGTAAGGAGTAAAGCATTCAGGACTCTCACACCTCACTGTTGGGTATGCAAAATGGTACAGCCACTTAGGAAAGCAGATGGGCAGTTCTTATAACATTAAGCACACACTTACCCAATGACCCAGCAGTCTCACCAATGTAAACATGTGTCCATACAAAAAACCGTACGTGTGTGGTTACAGCAGCTTCATTCCCAATTTCCCCAAAGTAGAAACAA